GGAGAAGGAGGGGGAGAGGGAGGAAGAAGAGATGATTCTAAGCTTTGTCCATGTCTATCTAGATGCCCCCATTCCAAGTCTCAGAGTTCCACGTCTTTCCAGTGACATGTAACAGTAAAGCACTGCCAGCACAATAAAAACTGGGTTCAACTTTCAGCCAGGCTGACTATGGCTACAAAAGCAAAGGGTTTTAGAACCAAAGAAACTCTGCAATTCTCTTAAGACTTGACCTGAGAGTTTAAAGTTTGAATTTGCTGTTTTCCTTTTGTAAATGTTCCAGCAAACTCAGAAACAGCCAAACAGCCGTCTCATAGTACTCTTGTATACTCAGTCCTTAGAGTCACCATTACTGCCACCAACAGTCAAGTGCTTTAAAGACTTGGTCCCCCAAGGCACCTGCTTCAGAAACCACTTTATCACAATCAACCAAAGGCAGTACTTTAATTATGATGCCACTACACGCCATGGGTTACTAGGATCTCATTTCTCATTAGCAAGGCACTGAAGAAATAATCAACCCAACTCCCAAGCCCTATCTTTCAAGGGATTTTCTCCCGAGAATCCTATTCTTAGTAACACTTTTATCAACCACAGCCCAGTCAAGAGACCAAAACCGCATGAGCTATTTGAACAGAGATAAGTATTAAAAACTATGAACCAGCACTGGAGATATAACTCAGGGGTTACACTGCCTAGCAGTAGGATGCCCTGGCACCAGCCACTATTCCTAAGACAAAGTAACTGGGGAAAGAGAAACTTGGAGTTGGGACCCCATGGAGTTGAGACTCACATCTAAGGAAAGGATACTGACATCTTCAAGAGTGTACAATGAGTCTGACTGGAGGGAAGTAGAAAACTATAAACTGGAATCAGAGACCAGGACCAGAGTGAGACATTGTTGCTATGGGAAGACAGACAAAGAAAGGAATCAAACAGTACTAACAAGCCCCTTAGACCTCTTCTAGTTGTTCATCTGTCTCCCTTTTTGGTTAAACTTGATAGGCTGCCAGCTAGCAAAGGAGAACAGTTTCAAGTTCTGCTGGTGACAGACAACAGGTTGCTAAACTGTGGTCCAGAGGAGGCAGGAAGTAGTTGTTGAGGCGGGATCCCTGGCTATTTGTATATGGCATTTGGGGCCCATTCTGAATGTGTCTGACAAGAGCAATCACCATGCAAAAGGACATACCATACTTTCTGGATGTGTGCCATTCTTTTTCACTACTATTGTTTTTAGGATCCAATAATGAAATGCCCCTGTTCTTTCCCATACTCACCAGCCCACGCAGACAGAGAGCAGTGGAAAGAAGCAATGGGAAAAGAAACTGTAGTACTGAGGTAAGAACCATAACTGAGAAACACATAACCAATAAAGATCATAGAGTGGATATTATTAAAAAAACAAGAAGGGTGAAAGGGTAAGCCTTCTTACCCTTAGAGCTGGGATATTGTTAGATGTTTGTGAGCTCATTTCTAATCAATAAATCTCTGCCCTTGGTTTAGGTTTGCAAATAATAGAGTAAAAAAAACTTCTCTCTCTAGATAAAGCTAAACCAAGTGGGAAGAGTGACTGGGTTAGGTTCCAGATGACTGGTTAGGGCCAGATCAGGATGGAACTGACAGGCACTTACAAAGTCTTGTAGCCTCAGCAGTGCTTAGCTCAGACTTTCAAAAGTTCTACAATGACATCAACTTGCAACATTTGTAAAACTTACACCTATATGAGGTGGTTAAACAATCATTAAATATCCAAACCAAGCCTTAAACCTGGCAGGCCAGGATCTGAACCTGTGTTTGTCTGCATCCAAAGTCTCTTAACCAACATACACACGAGCATCCTGATCAGCATCGTTTGCAATAAGAATTTCACCCATTTCTCCAGTGCTAAAGATAGATGTCTTAGAAATCTAATTAGGTGGCCTATTTAAAATTAAAAAATAAGCATATGATATAATTACCAGCCAGGTTTTCCTTGTGGAAGAAAATTATGTTGAAGAGTAACATCAATATTATATCATTTAAAAATCTTGTATCAGGGGCTGGAGAGATGGTTCAGCGGTTAAGAGCACTGACTGCTCTTGCAGAGGACCCGGGTTTGATTCCAAGCACCCACATGGCAGCTATGAACTGTCCTTAACTCCATCCAGTTCCAGGAGAATCCAAAGCCCTCTTCTGACCTCCTCAGTATTGCAGGACACAGGTGCACTCACATACATGCAGGCAATACACTCATACACATTAAAAATAATAAATAGAGACTGGAGAGATGGCTCAGCGGTTAAGAACACTGGTTGTTCTTACAGAAGACCGGGATTAGAATTCCAACACCCACATGGCAGCTAACAACCGTCCATAACTCCAGTTCCAGGGGATCCAACGGCCTCTTCTGTCCTCTGCCAGCATTGCACTACACGGGTGCACTTACCTACACGGAGGCAATACACGCGTACACATAAAATAAAAATAATAAATAAAATATATATTTTTTAAATCTTGTATTAAGCTGGGCATGGTGGCTCACACCTTTAATCCCAGCACTCGGGAGGCAGAGGAAGGTGGATCTCTGTGAGTTCGAGGCCAGCCTGGTCTCCATTAGCGAATCCAGGCCAGCTGCGGCTACAAGGAGACCTTGCCTCAAAAAAAAGAACAACAAAAATCTTGTATTAAAGACTACTTTTCTCACTTAGTAAACACCTTCCTAATTCTAATTACAAACTTCCTTGAAATAAATAACAGCAATTAAAAACTGAAAGGTCAATAATTACACATTGTGATCCAGGTACGATGGCACACTCCTATAATCCTAGCACTTCGAAGGGTGAGGCAGGCAGACTGCAAGCTTATGCTGCATATTCAGACTCCTCTTAAAAAGAAAAGAAAAGGGGATGGAGAGATGGCTCAGCAGTTATGATCACTGGCTGCTCTTGCAGAGGACATGGTTTGATTCCCAGCACCCACATTGCAGCTAACAACGATCCGCCACTCCAGTTCCAGATCTGATGCCCTCTTCTGGCCTCCACCAGCATTGCTCGACAGGGGTGCACTTACATGTAGGCAATACACTCATATACACAAAATAAAAATAATAAAATATTTTTAAAAAGAAATAAGCCCAGTGTGGTGGTGCACAATTTTAATCCCAGCACCTGGGAGGCAGAGGCAGCTGGATCTCTGTGAGTTCAAGGCCAGCCTGGTCTACACAGTCTCAGGCCAGCTGAGGCTATAGAGAGACCCTGTCTCAAAAAGAAATGTTAACACTCTGATTAGTTCCTAAAGATGGCACCTATTTTCAGAAACTGACAGGGGCCTGTGCCTTTTCTTTAAAGTAATGAATATCTAAGCCATATTTTTTAACTTGATTTACTTCAGTCCCAATCCTTTTGCCTCTGCTCATGCTGTGTTCTCTGAAATGCATTCTTCCTCTTTCATTTCAAGTATTTTTCAAAATACGCAGCTCGTGTTTATTCAGTAGATTCCTCTTCAGGTCGTGGCTCTTGTTCACTTAGAACTCTTGTTCAGTACATTTGGATCCACCATCTTTCCAAAGGGCTATGAAGGCTGCAGCCCAGAACAACTATTGTGGACTAGTCATATGATTTCCACTTGCTGTGTTTATACGGCATGCCTGCTTACGATACAGCGGTATCTCCTCAAGAGATACCTAAGAATCTCTGCGTTGGAAGACTTGCTCAGGGGTTATGTAAGGGTATTCTCTCGGATAAGTAAACTGCCTCCACCCCACAGCATAACTAAGATCTCGTTGAGCTCTAAAAAAAAGGTACTATCAACTAAAGATCTCTTCAAAAGGAGTGGAATGAGTTTAGAAACCATGAAAATTCTCAAATGGTAGCTACTGAATTCAGTTACAAATTCCTCTGAAAGATAAGCGGCCAAGGAGTGCTTTCAGGTCAGAAACACGAAGAAGCTCCTTGGCATCCAGCTCTGTGCTCTTTAGAGCAGGTGACCAATTCCCCCCGGGCAAAGAGTAGGTCCCCATCCGGGACAAACCGGGAGGGACACGCACTGCATCCCGTCACCGGGACCAAGCGCTGCCCGGCCGTCCGATCGTCTGGAAACAAAGCTGGGAACAGCAGCGGGTCCGGCCGCCCCTGCAGCCGCGGGGACTAACCCCAGCGGGCAGTGACGCAGGTCCCGCGGCGTCCCGCCAGAGCCAGTCCGACTCCGCTCCCGGCCGGCCGCCGCCGGGTCCCTCGCTCCTAGCCCCGGGACACTCACCATCCTAGTACCAGGCCGGTGGTGACGATGAAGCAGGTAAAGACCACCGCGATGTAGAAGAGCGGCGAGTACTCGTAGAGCGTCACCAGAAACACCGCGGCCATCGGGGTCTCCTGGGCTGAGCCCGGCCCGGGCAAAAGCCTCTATGGCGTCCCGGAGCTGACAAACTTCGTAGGTCCGCTCTCGCCTCGGCTTCAGGTGCGCTGAAGACTCGGCCAAGCGGGACCCGGATGCCACTCACAGCGTCGCCAACAGAGCACGCCACACCCCTCCCGCTCCTGTCCACAGCTATTGGCTGCACGGAGGAGCGGGCCTGCATGGCACCGCCCCCCGGCTCCCGGGATTGGTGGCCTGCGAGAACCCTCTCCCCGATTCTGGCCCAGTGGTCAGTTCTCCTCTGCCCGCAAATTCTGAATAGAAATGGGCCAATCCGGACACAATTTCGGCTGATGCAGATTTTCTGATTATCAAGAGAGGAGCTACAGGCAATCCTGAAACCCTGTAAACCTAAGGCAAATTGGGGAAAAAAGGACAGAAGACATACGGGCTGCTACAAAGTGAAATAACCTCACCCCTGTTCTCGTTTAATCTAGATTTACAGATAGTCGCAGAAAACCACATAAGCGGTCGCTACCACCGTTAAATTTATTGGAGTCTTGTCAGCTTTTTCATAGTAAAGCCAAAGGAAAATCAGAGTGCGTATTCCAGATTTCCTTAGGAATAAAACAACTGTCCACTCACACATCCCTCTTTTTTTCTCAAATTAGAATTACCCAGACCTTTGACTTTTTAAAATATTTGCTTTGATTTTATTATTTATTTATTCGTTTATTTTAGGAGTAGAAGGTTATTTTATTTTTATTTTATATGTATGTGTTTTGCCTACGTGCATGTAAGTGTACCACATGTACGTAGTGCCAGCAGAGGCCAGAAGAGAGCAGGTGGTTTCGCTGGAATGTAGTTGTAGATGGTTGTGAGCCACTATGGGAATGATGGGAGGTGGGATATATTTCAAGGAAATGTTACAAACAGTGCAGTTGGAAACAATGAAGATATGAAGACTTATTCCATTTGTGTTGCTAGCAATAGATGGGATTAAATTGATAACATCTGTGTATGGTTGTGTACATGTGTGCTATTTTAGTCAAAAGGGACAAGGGTCATAGTCCTCAGGTAAGGGTCCACTTTTACTTCCCCATTCCACACTGGATATACTATTTCAGTAAAAGAATGAGTGAGCCCTTCTTTGAGAACACAATTCCAAGAGAACTATGAAGGAACCAGTTCTTAGCAGTTTGGGTCTGTTCTTGGCCTTAAATGGGATGCTAAGAGTCAGGTTAGTTTGTGTGTGTGTGTGTGTGTGTGTGTGTGTGTGTGTGTGTGTGTGTTTTGTTTTTTTTTATTCAGGCATAACTGTAATGTAACATCACATAGGAAACACCACAAGCTGCCATATGGGTCCAAGTGTTCTTAATTCCTGCGCCATTTCTTTAGCCCCAAGAAGCAAGGTTTTTGGTTTTTTTTTTAAGTCCAGGCAGTGGCTAAATGTCCACTCCCTTTCCTCATCCCCTACTGAGTCAATTCCTCAAAGTAGCATCCTCGAAGTGTCTCATAAAATCATATTTATCACTCTTTGCATTAAGCCCTAAAGCCATCCCTAATTACAACAGAAGGAAGAAATACAGACTTACCATTCTGTGCAGCAACATCTTCCACTACAAAATGGATTTTGTTGCTGAAAGGGAAAATGGATATTGGGATGGATAACTAAAAGTGCCCACCACACTCCCAAGTCACCAGTAAAATTTACGTTTGAAAAAGATGAGTTAACCTTGTCCTATACCCTCATAGATCCCTTGACAGGTAACCATGTGTTCTCCAGGGTAGTGCTGTTTAAAAAGCTTGTTCCTATATCATTTTTCATTAGTAATCTGATTTTTCTTTTTTGAGACAGAGTCTCACTTAGCTCTGGCTGTCCTGGAACAAGTTATATAAACCAGGCTGGCCTAGAACTCAGAGAGATCCACCTGCCTCTGCCTCCCGAGTTCTAGGATTAAATGGGAGGCCAGGAGAGTGGCAGTGGGTCACTGAAGGAGAGCCTTTGAGAGTTACTGCCTGGCCCTTCTTCCACTACATGTCCTGAGGCTGCCCACAGATACCAGACATTTGAAGGTGTAGCTTATTTAATCTGTCCTTAGTTGTTGGAAATTCTTTCATTATTATATGCAACACTCTAATGAGCATCCCTAAAGCTAAATTATTTGTTTAAGATAAATTATTAAGGTGGGACTTTGTTTTTTTAATGTACATTTTTAAGACTTTAGAGACTTTAGACTTTTGCTGTCTAGAAATGCTGTGCCAACTTACATATACCCTTCAACCACCACTTTAAGAAAACTCTGGGCCAATCTGAAGGGCAACTTTATTTAAAAAAAAAAAAAAAAAAAGGCCTGACCTGCAGCTCACCAAGGAGACTGGTAGCTGCCCAGCGAGTCCCAAAGTTCTCCCTGTCTCTGCCTCCTTTGCACTGGAATTACAGGCACACATCATGGCAGGTGCTAGGGACTGAATTCAGGGCCTCAGGCTTGTGTATGCAACACAAAAACACACACAAAAACAAACAAACAAACAAACAAACAAACAAACAAAAAAGAGACTATTCAGGGCTGGAGAGTGGCTCAGTGTTAAGAGAACTTGCTGTTCTTCCAGAGGACCCAGGTTTGATTCCCTGCACCCACATGGCTGGTAACAGCCATTTGTAACTCCAGTTCCAGGGAATGCGACGCCCTGTTCTGGCCTCCAAGGGCTTTGCACCACATGGGTGCACATCCCACATACATGCAGGCAATACAATTATACACATAAAAAATAATAATAATAATAATAAAATAAAAAAGAGAATATCCGTCATGAAACAAAAATGTATGGAGTTGCAAGTGGCATTAACAAAATCTTGCTCCCACTCAAACTCCACTAAAACTATAATAAAGAGATTCAAAATGTAAACAAGAGCTAGAGAGATGACTCACTGGGTAAAGGCATCTGCCACCAAGCCTGATATCTAGAACCACGTGGTAAAAAGAGAGAACTGATTCCCTGAAGTTGTCTTCTGACCCCTCTTAACACACACATGTACGAATAAAAGAGAAAATAAACACATTCCAAAATATAAATTAGAAAACATGAAGCAAAGTAGTAATAATAATACACGGAAAGAGAAAAGTCAGACAAAAGTGCGGCGGTCCTTCCCCTCATGCAGCACGATGGGGGCCGAGGAGGGGGGTGCGCTGCCTTCCCAACCCTCTGTTTCTGAGGAACCACCGAGGAGGCAGGGAGTCTTGTCCAGCAGGAGCTCATTTATTAAGCTTTAAGCAAGTGTTTATGTACATTTGTGAGCATTGAGTGTCCCTCCCTTTACTCCACCCGGGGGTTTGATTGGTCATGACCGCAGGACTTAATTAGCATTTTAGGTTTTAATTTTTCAGAGCTGTTAGGTTCCTATCTCTCCAGGGCCAGGTTTTTGTTTCCCAGAACTGTTAGGTTGTCATTTTTTTATCACCATGCCCATATGGTCTTTACTTCTCCTGACTGTTGAGTTGTTTTTTATCACCAAGTCCCCACACAAAAGAACAAACCACTAATCCAGCCATGAAATCCAATCTCAAGCCAACAATAAAGAAAACTAGGAGCCAACCTGATTGATCCTCAACTCTCTAAAGCAACAGAAACTAACATAAATTTACCTCAGGCCTTTACCACTTGGAAATCTGCTACAGCCACTGAAATTTGTATTTCTACTTAACATAGAACGGTCTCCTATGCATTTTGCACAATGTCAACCTCTCCACAACTTTTCTATAGCAGAAATCTTATTCCACTGGCAAAAGTCCTAGATTGACATGCAATATTTTTTAATTAGTTTTTAGAGTAAACTTACAAAGTAATGAGTTTCACTGTCATATTTTCATGCATGTACTTTGTTCTTGTTCACCCCTTATTACCCTCCTTTGTCTCCACTCTACCTTTCTGTTTGTCCTCCCCCCGCAAATACAATAGTCCCCTTTCCATATTTTTTTCAGTGTGTGATTGTGTGTGTGTGTGTGTGTGTGTGTGTGTGTGTGTGTGTGTGTTATTTCTTAAAGGACAAAAGTCCTAGAGTCCTTGTTTGGCATGCCCACTTCTACATGACTTGACTTCTACTGTTATGATTTGAATGTGAAATGTCCCCCACTGGCTCATACGTTTGAACACTTGATCCCCAGTTGGTAGGGCTGTTTGGAGAGGCTGTGAGCCTTTCGGAGTTGGGTCACAGGGGGAGAGCCTTTGAGGGTTGTAGCCTGGCCTTGCTTCCACTTCATTTCCTAATCTAGTACAATATGAAGAGCCTAGGCAACACACTAATTACTAATGATGTTGAACACCTTTTAAGACACTTCTTAGCTGTGTTGATTTCTTCTTTTGAGAACTCTCTGTTCAGCTCCTTAGCCCATCTTTTAATTGGGTTACTTCCTGTCTTGATTCTCTGTTTTTTGAGTTCGTTATATAAATGGATGTTAAACCTCTGTCAGATGTGTTGCTGGTGAAGATTTTCTC